CCTCCCTAATCCATTTACTGGATGTTTGTGGGCAGTTTGGTGCAGGTGTTTGGCAAGGAATAACAGCTGCTATGCTATTACAGTGGGCATGCCATATCCAGAAGTCAGCGTTTCACATCAGTACTTCCTGTGCTCCCTCCTTTCCTTCTTCTTGTATGCTCTCTGAGTTTTGGAGGGGGAAATATAGATGTCCAGTTAGGCCTGAGCACTCAGCAATCATTTACTCTTAGAACTCTGACAAATTGTGAGTTTCTTCATTAACACTGTCCGCCTCAACAAGAAGTTTCTCTGATATGCTGAGTACCACATTTATCCATGGATATAAACATTAATAGTTAGAAGACATTTTGACGACATATCTATTTAATGAAACAACTATAGTAGATTCTCTTCCAGGACCTATGAAATCCCCAGGCATGGTCTTTAAGGTGAGGTTTAAATACCATGAGTGAATTATCTCCTAAAGAGTGGACCTCAACTCTAACTAAAAAGTAGTTGGTTTTCTCATTACATCCATACCCCTATCGCAGCATCAGGCAGGTCTTGTTTGGTGGGCTAGGAGTACAGTTTGCAGACTTCATAGCTGATTAGAGACCACTGATAATACTCCTCCTTCAGGAGTCTATAGCGTACCTCCAAACACTATGAATGCTAGCCAGCAGGGATGATACTTTCAGTTCAGTTCCAGCTTGATTTCCCAGTCATGTAATCAAAGTATGTGATGCCTTCAGTAATAAGGTGTTATCATCTATTTCTGGTGAGAAAGCAAGAACAATGACATAGCCTATATAATTTTGGAGACCTCTGGGGTCTCCCTTAATTAAGGACTCATGGGAGGTATCTCATACACAGCCCTGAAATATTATATTTTCATATTTGATAACAATTAAAATTTTAGTTTGCCTATAAAGTAGTTATTTCTGTTTTTTTTTGTTCTAGCTAACTGTCCTTTCTATCACCCACTTCCTTCCTCATTCCTCACTCCCTCTCATTTAATAATCTCCTGCCCCAAGTGTTCTTCTTTTCTTTCATATCACCAGCTCATATTTGAACACTTAGTCCCAGTCTGATGTAGCTATTTGGAAGGTTCTAGAATCACTGAAATGAAGCGTACCAGGAAGAATTAGGTCATCGGGTGGGTCTTTGGGGTATATTGCTACTGTCCAGATTGCAGGTTGCTCTCTCTGCTTTCCGGTCTGCAGTGATACAAAGTGCAGTGCAGAACACATAATCACTCTGCCATGATGTTCTGCACCAGCATGTGAAGCTAAACAACCACAGCCTGAGTCCTCTGACTCCATGAGTCAAAGTAAATAACCCTTCTCTAAATAGCTTTTGTTAGGGGTTTGATCATGGTTATAGAAAACTGGCAGAGAAGTGGGATTGTATAATTAATAAAACTGACCATGTACATTTTATGGTTTTAACAGTGACCTGGAAGGGGAGTTTAGAAATTTGGAGATGTAGGTCAGAAAATTCCCAGAATGCTATAATCAGGGCAGAGTGGATGTTTTCAGTGGGGTTATAGAAGACCAGAATGCCAGTAGAAATGCAGCTGGTAAAGTCTGTGTTCAATTGGTTTCAAATATGGGCAAAACTCTGTTGTGAATTGAATTTGAGAGCTTTTATTCTATGTTTTGATAGAGAATTTTGAGTAAAATGGGATGTAGAAGAAATGGATTAATTTGGCAGAAACAATTACAAAGATAAAAATTACAAGATAAAGCATGGAAGGAATGACACCGTTTCTGGCTTCTTTTAGCCAGGTTTGCAATGATGACTGGGAGAAAAAGACAGAGGACAAAGATGTGAGAAACATTCAGTTCAACCAGAAGAAAAGGAGTGAATGCAAGGATGAGGACAAAGAAGGCATGACTTTAAAACAAATCAACACTATTAAAGAAAAGCCAACGGGGCAGGAGAGATGGCTCAGAGGTTAAGAGCACTGACTGCTCTTCTAGAGGGCTCAGCTTAATTCCCACTACCCACATGGCAGCTCATAACTGTCTATAACTCCTGTTCCAGAGGATCCAACACCCTCACACTGACATACATGCAGTCAAACATTAATGTACATAATATAAAAATAAAGAAATTAAAGAAAGAAAAGCCAAATATTTTTAAAGAGAACAATAAAATGGGCTCCTAGAGGACATTCAGAAATTGATTAGAAATTAAGTTCAATAATCAATAGAAGTAAAATATTTTATCTTGAAAGAGTACTTTAAGGACAATCTGTTCTAACATGGTGGTCTGGGGATTTTGTTTTTGTTTGTTTTGTTTTCCCTGTTTTCAATCCTCAATTGCCCAGACATCTAGGTTTCTACTTAGGTTCCCACTTTCATGGTTGCTAAGGTGCCTGGGAACTTCCTGATTTGATGGCAGAATTTAGTGTCATCAATGTGTTGCTGATTTTGCAAGCATGAAGAATATAAAAGCTTTAGGATTATGGAAGTTTCAGTCAAGATTCCCTGAAGAAACCTCCAGAGAGGATGGTGGATGAGGTTGTGAGGGTAGATCCTAAGTCACATTGAATAACCCCAGGATATTGAAGACATCAGGTCTGTGTGGCTCTGTTTATGAGAACTGTAGTCGATAAGTGGAGCCAGGCCAACGCAAACGCCAAATGGGCTACAGGCAAAGAAATAGCATTTGAGCTGCACACACGTTTAGAATTCACATCATGTTCTTACGTGCTCCAGACCAAGACATACAGCTATACGGACTGGCACTTGCCCTACTTAATTTAGGTCCTGCCTTTCTTCTGTGTCCCTTTCTCTCTTTTTATGTGGATACTTGCTCTGTGTTATTACATGTGAGAATTTATTCATCCTTTTTTTCTTGTATTTTGAGTAGATGATGATAAAAAGAATTCCTGAATTACTGTACTTATTCTAGACTTAGATTTTTGAACAATATTGGAAGTGTTAAGATTGTGGAGATATTTGACATGGGGATATATGTGTTTTCTATTATGTGGTCACCATGAACCTATGTGAGTCAGTAAGGAATGCTACGGTTTGAATGAAAAATATTCCTACACTCTCATATTTGAGTGCCTTGGAACCAGCATGTGGCACTATTTTGGGAGGTTCTAGAAACTTTGGTAGGACTGGCCAACCCAGATGAGCTAAAACCCTGTAGACAGGTGAGTGGATGTGAATCCCTGGGTGCGTTCTGCCTTGCTGTCTTTGTATCTCGACAAAGATCTGTCCCTTGCCTCTCACCCATACTGCAGGATGTAGGGGACTAAGGGGACTTAGGGGACTAAGACGCACAGTGCCAATGAACTCTAGATGGAAATTTCTAAAACCATAGACCAAAATAAATAATTCTTTCCTGAATCTTTTGTCAGTTCTTTGGTCAGAACTACACAAAAAGGACTAATGCAATTTTGTTCCTGTGTTATTTTTTTCTTATTGTCATTCCATTTCATATTCTTCTCTCCTATCTTAAAATTGTCAAACTTATTATGAATACTGGCAAGTATTTATCTTCTGTTCACATTTTTTTCTAAAACCTGTTATGGTTTGAGTATGAATTGTTTTTCCACGCATCTTACACTGCTTCTCATTATTTTATTCATAATTGTATTTGAAAGTTCGAGCCACCTTTGCAAACATAGTGCTTTATAGATTTCCATCACTGATACCAGTGCCTTCAATGACTGTCATCTACATTGTTTCACATTCTTGCTCTTCTAACACACTGCTGTTTTTTCCTGTTTATTTATTTATTCACTTTACATTCTGATTGCAGCCCCTCCCTCCTCTCCTCCTAGTCCCACCCTCACACCCTGTCCCCATCTGCCGCCCCCTCCTCCTTAGAGAAGAGGAAGCTCCCCATGAGTACCAACCCATCCTGGCAAATCAAGCTGAAGCAAAACCAAGCACATCCTCTCCCACTGAGGCCAGAGAGAGCAGCCCAGCTAGGGGGAAAAAGAGTCAAAGGCAGACAACAGAGTCAGAGACAGCTCCTGCTCCAATTTCTAGGGGATCCATATGATGACCAAGCTGCATATCTGCTACATATATATAGGGGCGATAGGCCCAGTCCATGCATACTCTTTGGTTGATGGTTCAGTCTCTGTGAACCCCCATGATTAGTTTACTCTGTAGGTGCTATGTTTCTTTCTATATGATCTATATGGATATCTATGCAGGTGTCCCTGAGGTTATTACTGATTTGATTTTTCTGTTTCTAGTAGTTTATGCACAAAATATTATTTTATAGGAATATATTAGTATTGTTTAAAATATTGACACCAAACAATACTCTTATATAGTACACAAGATTTATTTATACTTATATTCTTCTAATGACTTAATTTGCATTTCTTTGGGTGCTAATATATATAAATATTTTTCCCATTATTTCTGTACTTGCTAATGGTTTTATTTTTTTCTTCTTTGCAAAATTTCTGATCATATTCCCTTTTTATGAGAGGTCATATTTTAACTAGTCATTCATAAATATGAATAATTTTTATAATATATGTTGCTCATGTATTTCAAATTTACCTCTCATTGATTTCAGATACTGTCCATATCAGATTTTTCCAATCTCCCACTATTTGTTACTTTTCATCAAATGTCTTTCCTTTAGAAACAAAATATACCTTGTCTTTTTTTAGTTCATCTAGTTTCTGTGATCTTAATAAATTCTGCTATTAATATTGCATGTTTGTATATTATTCAGATCTTCCTTAATATTTCTTAGTTTTATTGTTCTGAATTAGCTCTTCCAGGAATATATCTTGTCCTTTTAACTTATAAATAAGTGGTCACAGTTTAGAGGAAAAGTATGGTTACAGGAAAGATTTGAATTTTAAAATGGTGTTATTGTCATTCTTACTAGTGTCCTTTTTAATATTACTAAATGTGTTTCATATTCATTGACATGATTTATACATGTGTTGCTTTTCCTTTGTCTTCTGTATTTATGTCTGATTCCTAATTAGTTTAATTTGTGTTTTTAAAAATTATGCCTGATTCTTGTCTTGCCCCTGGCAATGAGCAAAGGATCACCTTGCTGGTGGTGGTGGTCTTAATTCAGTCAGGGGCAGAGCAGATGGCAGTCCTGTTTTCATTCTAACTTGATGCCTGTCTTAGTGGCCAAAGCTGTTTTATGTACAGGACATATTATTACGTGGTTCACATTGCTACAAGAGAATATAAGAACTTCCCTGGTCAAGGCAGCTGCTGGGGACCCCATGGATGTCCAGAATCTGTGCAGAAGAACTGGCCTCACCCTCACTAGCTGCAGTGCTCTAGAGAGCTGGCCTCACCCATCACCGAAGCATTGCTGTGGAGGTGGCAGCACCTGGAAGAGCAGGCCCTTGGCTTCACCCAGGCAACACAGTGGACCTGACCCTGGGGGTGGGGGTGAGCTGACCCCAGTGATGTAAGTGTAGGAGATCTGACCCTGCCACTCACTTCCATTGGGTGGCACAGGCATAGAGGTGATGCCCCCCTCCCCCCGGGCTATTTCTACCTGTTGGGAAAGCTGTCCACACGTCATGAGCCTGCAGCTCTCGGGACAGCACGCCCTGGACCCACCTGGACAGCACAGCAGAGCTGACCCTAATGGTGGGGGCTCAGGTGAGCTGTTCAGAGGGCCAAAGCACAGAAAAGCTTACCTTGCCACTTGTCTGCCCTGAAGTAGTAGAGGTGTGGGTGATACCCTACCCTGTAGGCATAAGGTTATGGTGTAATTCAAATGCTCGTTTTGGTACTCCCCATATCTGGTTGCAATTTTGTTCTGAGAATCTCCTGTCTCTGTTGTGTGAACACTACTCCCCAATTGTTCCCTTATATGCCAAAGCAGCTTACAGCCAATCTCTGAACAGGGGTCAGAATAGGGCTGGACTTTCTGACAGCCAAGGGAGGAGAATTTGAAGGAGGAAGTAAGGGATTCAGCCACCGACAGATGTCCAGGATATATCAAAAAACAAGAGCTGGAGCAGGAAAGCTACATAAAGCAAGAATTTCTGCTATGTACACTGGGAGAAAGCCAAATTAGCATAGAGAATTAAGAATAGAGTAATAACTGCTTAGTTGTTGTGTTGTGAAGCTTATTATTAAACAAATATAACAGTTTTAATTACCTGTGTGATTGCTGGGTTAAGTGAGAAACTGAGAAACAAATACAGTTTTATAAAAATAATCTTTCAACATTTTGGCACCTGATGTGTGGCCAGACTTACATAGAAAACAAAACTACAGAGAAGTTTCTTAGTTCTGTTTTTTAAGAGAAAAAACACAGTTTCCAGGGCAGGAGCTCACAGCTTCCTTATTGTATAGATCCCTCACAGATCAGCAAGAATTTTTGGTGATGTTGACTTGTCTATTTTACATCTCTCATTATGTTCTAAGTTTTATATATTTGTTATTTATTTCTGGTCTTATCATTTTTTTTTCACATCTTCTTTAAGAATGGATTGCTCACAGTTAAAACCTCTTGTTGTTCTTGAAGATGCCTAGGTTACGTCCCAAACACCCAAATGGTGGCCGTAACTGCCATTGAATCTAGTTCAGTGTGTCCTCCTTGCCTCTATAAGCAGTGTGTGCAAGCACACACACACACACACAGTGAGCTTATATGAAATAAAGGATAAAAATAAAAATTTATTAGGAATTATTTATTTTTATTTATTACCCATCACTGATTATTTTTTAATCTTTTTTTTCTTATATAACTCTTTCCCTACATATGTTTAAAAATACGTGGTGATGTTATTCATTTATTTTGCTTTTTCTGGTTCTTAAGAATTACTGATGCCAGCTGAAGCAACGGAAGCTTAGAACATGTTCTCATATCACTGCTTGGTCATGTCTTCAAGAGACTATTCTTATCTGTCTTTCCCTCATGTCCTGAGCACGTATCTTCAGACTTTTCACAAGACAACACTGTAGCTGCTGCATATAACATGGTAGACCCATCTTAGTTTATTTTAAGCAGGCTTTGATCAGCTAGCATCATGTTTATAACGTGAACACTCTCTTGTACTCTGCTTCCTGAAGAGATGGCCAGTCTTTGCAATTGTTCTTCTGTCTTTTTTCATCTATCAACCTTGCTTTGGAATACCTGCATCCATTCATGCCTCCCAGGGAAGGAGTCTTTGATCGTTAGATAGCTATCACGTCTACTCTTAGAGATACCCATACGTACACTATTTAAAATTCATATAGGAGTTTTCACCTAATTTTGCCTTAATAATTGTTAAGTTTGCATACAGAACTTGTTACTGGATTCCTGGATGCACTATAGTCTCATCGAAGCTGCACAGTGTACATTTTTTATTCTTTGTTTTGGTTGCAGCTGTCATTACATAAGAAATTTCCAAGTAGTAGATCATGTAGTAAAAATATGACATAAAAAAATATTTTGAACTTGGGTAAAATTTTGCTAAACAGAACGTGATTTAACTACTTGAATTTGGAAGTGTGCTACTATTGTGAAATTTTAAATTTTCTAAGGGATCAGGTGTTTCTATTATTGTGGTGGGTGTGCAGAATGTCAAAGTTAGGACCTAAACATAGAATGTCAGTCCATGCCAATGGTTAGAAAATTAGCATTCAAATAGCAGTAGAATTTAGTAAGGAAAAATGGTACAATTATTACACTATTTGGCTTTATTATAAAAAGACTATGAGATCGCACCAAAAAAATGGCTCGTAATTTTGATAACACTATTAAAAATAACCATATTTTATTTGTTGGATCTTTTGGTCAGGCACTAGTGATAGATAGAAATTGGGTTCAATTTGTCTGAACAAAAAGAGAACAAATTTATACACAGGATTTGGAATCCTTGGCCTGAAGCTTGCTTAAATCATGCCAGATCTAGGAACTCTAAAAATGTCTGCCATCTCTAACCAAAAAGATATTTCCACTTGATATCCATTTTCAAAGAAAAAATTAATTTTCTCCACTGAATGTCACTGGGTATATTAGCCACACATAAAGGCACATCCCATGCTCTGCTGTAGGTGGTCAAAACAAAATGAACTCAACTGTATTGTTTAGACTTACTGTCTCATATTTATTGAACACATTTTGCCTTGGTTGTCTTTTGTGTCTGATTTTGTGTTTTATAGAGTTTTTGTGTGTATATGTGTCTGTGTGTTTTTTTCTGCTCTCTTTTTGTTATTTCCACTTTATTCTGTTTTTTTTTTTCTGTTTGCCTGTACCTTTTCTAAAGAGAAAGAAAAAAAGGGGGTGTGGAGTTGGGTGGGTGGGAAGGTGGTTAAGATTCGGGTGAAGTTGGGGGAGACAAAATCTTGATCAGAATATATTGTATGAAAACTGATTTTCAATTAAAAAGTTTTTCTGAAAACGTTTCAATTCCAAATCATTCACAATAATTCACTTGGTAGATAATTTTGTTCCTCTGATCCTCATACATGAAGATTTTCTATTTATATTGTTCACACACGTTATCCAAATTTAGATAAAGTACCAAAGTCGTATAGACATTGGCAGCAGAATTTCAGACAATGAGAAACATGGTATATTTGCTTATGTTAGCAGGATGTCTGTAAAACAAAAATTAAACTTGATATTAATGAAGACATGTTTCAATATTGTTAATGTGATCTTAGGAAAAAGATCTATATTTCATTATAAAATATACTCAGAGTCTCTGAGATCAGTTCTGTTTTATTTCATTCTTAAATGGATCAAGGGAAGAATAAATTATAACAAATGGGTGATTAAAGTGTTTTTACTTTTTTAGTTTCAGACAGGAAAACTAAAAAAACTTGTACCATTTACTCTGATATCTCTGCCAAAAGTCTAAAGTTTGTGTGTATAAAATGATATATTAGTTACTTTTCTATCACTCTGTGATAAAACACCATTAGCAGACCAACCTTATGGAAGTGTTTATTTTGTACTTTTCTCAGCAAGTCTACACCACCTAAACCTCTCCAAACGGTGTCACCAACTGGAGACTAAGTGCCCAAATGCTGGAGATTATGTAGGACATCTCTTAATCAAGCCACGGCATATGATATGTTTCTTTAATTTTTATTACCCTACATCAAACATTATTTTACGTATAATTGAGAACACCCAAGGACTGCATGTCCTCCTATGAAATATTTTCTACTTTAATGAAGATATGAATAAAATATTTTTGAGGGTTTGACTGAAGCCAGTTGGTAACCTATGGGAGAATCATGACCTTAGAGAACTTGGTAGTCAACTCCAGAGGAAATAGTATGTTCTTGATATAGGAAACTGTTTGAGACCTTAATTTTAGTTGTAAGATTATTAACATCTTATAACATAGGGAATTTCCTTACCATACTGTGTAAATTGGTGATTTTTCCAGGACTTAAATCCAAGTGAGCTCATAAACTTGCAGGCAAAAAGAGGAAACAGAAAGTCCAAAGGACAAGTTGGAGTCATTTGTTATTTGTTTCCTAAATCTGCAAACACCTTTTCAAAAATGCTAGTCTTAATATTCTAAAATATTACGATTACTTTTCTTCCTACTAATGAGCACCTCAGTATTTTTCGAATTGGCATTTGAGTGGGAGGTGGTGAACTTCTGTCTTAGTTGTTGATTTGGCTATGACATTTCCACATTTTACCTTTGCCATATCATCATTTTGGGCAATCATCAAGCGTGTGGGCATATAATATAATAAACACATATTATACATAGAGTTCTGTGACATCCTTCAGCTTGTGGTATCTAAACTCAGTATGGTTATATGCACACAGATATTGTTTTGCATGTGAATACAAGTCAGGATGTTTGTTTTAATTTTAAATGGATATATGATCTGGTTTCTGTGTGAAGACTATTTAAGATCATTTATTGATTATCCATATTTATTATTCCCATGGTAGTTCAGAAGTATAAATAAGCAGTCATTTTCCCTTCTTTTTCTAGTTCACTTATGCTTTTTCAGTTGTTCTCAGAGTACATACTCCAGTTTATATTTTCAAAGTGAATCAAAGTTGTTCAAGTAGTTGTGTAAAATTAAAAGATATATATTAATTAAACTCACTGTGTGCTAAATTACAAAATGAGCTTATAACAAGAAGAGTAATCCAAAGCATAGATGCTTACATTCAAAAACACTGGTCATAATATTAGCTAATGGGGAGCACCAGTTTAAAATATTCAGAT